GTCGCTTCTTCTTCTTCTTCTTCTTCTTCACATTTCCTCCTCCATTTTCCATTGATGACTCCTTCTTTGTTGAACGTCTTCTTCTTTTTCTTCTTCATCTTCACATTTCCTCCTTCATTTTTCATTGATGACTCCTTCTTTGTTGAACGTCTTCTTCTTTTTCTTCTTCTTCACATTTCCTCCTTCATTTTTCATTGATAACTTCTCTATTGAACGTCTTCTTCTTTTTCTTCATCTTCACATTTCCTCCTTCATTTTTCATTGATGACTCCTTCTTTGTTGAAAGTCTTCTTTTTCTTCTTCTTCTTCACATTTCCTCCTTCATTTTTCATTGATGAATCCTTCTTTGTTGAACGGCTTCTTTTTCTTCTTCTTCACATTTCCTCCATTTTTCATTGATGACTCCTTCTTTGTTGAAAGTGTTCTTCTTTTTCTTCTTCTTCTTCACATTTCCTCCTTCATTTTTCATTGATGACTCCTTTGTTGAACGGCTTCTTCTTTTTCTTCGTCTTCTTCACATTTCCTCCTCCATTTTCCATTGATGACTTCTTCTTTGTTGAACATCTTCTTTTTCGTCTTCTTCACATTTCCTCCTTCATTTTTCATTGATGACTTCTTTGTTAAACATCTTCTTTTTCTTCTTCTTCACATTTCCTCCTTCATTTTTTCATTGATGACTTCTTCTCTGTTGAACGTCTTCTTTTTCTTCTTCTTCAGATTTCCTCCTCCATTTTCCATTGAGGACTTCTTCTCTGTTGAACGTCTTTTTCTTCTCCTTCTTCACATTTCCTCCTTCATTTTCCATTGATGACTCCTTCTTTGTTGAACGTCTTCTTTCTCCTCCCATTTACACTGACGGCCTCTTCTTTTTTGTAAAAGGTCTTCTTCTTCTTCTTCACATTTCCTCCTTCATTTTCCATTGATGACTCCTTCTTTGTTGGACGTCTTCTTTTTCTTCTTCTTCACATTTCCTCCTTCATTTTCCATTGATGACTCCTTTGTTGAACGTCTTCTTTTTCTTCTTCTTCTTCACATTTCCTCCTCCATTTTCCATTGAGGACTTCTTTGTTGAACGTCTTCTTTCTCCTCCCATTTACACTGACGGCCTCTTCTTTTTTGTAAAAGGGCTTCTTCTTCTTCTTTCTCTTCTTCACATTTTCACCTTCTTTTTTTTTATTGACGGCCCGTTCTTAACGTTTGTTTGTTGTTGTTGTTTTTTTTTTGGGGGGGTTGTTTTTCGTCATTTTCTGCTTTTCTTCGATTTCTGTTTTCCCCGGTTAGGGCGAAAAGAATCATTTTTTTTTCCTTTGTAGATAAATTATTCCTTCACTCTTTCTTTCTTCTTTCTCACGCCACTTTTGCTATGCCTTTCCTTTTCTTTTTTCTTCTCGCTTCTTTTTCTTTATTTTTTCTCTTCGACTACTTCTTTCCTTCCTTCCTTCTTTGACTTTCTCTCGTTTTAAGACCAGAACCTTCTTTACAAGATCCATATATTTATATTTTTAGGTTGTTATTGTAATTCTTTTTACATTTTATGACATTCCGCCGCAAGGTAACTTCCTAGTCGGGCGTTTGCTATTCGCCACGTCCAGCCCAAACCCAAAATGACCATTTCTTTAAATATAGCTGCAAGCGAAAAATAATAAACTAAAAATGCAAATAAATCAATGAATAAAAAATATATATATATGTGTGTGTGTGTGTGTGTGTATAAATACCCCCTTCTTAACAGATAACAAGTGCCTTGTGGCCAAATAGATTCGATCAAATGTGTTTCAAAATCGGCTATTCTAAACAGCCAGTCCATATTTTGGAAAGAAACAGAAAGAAAAAAAAAACAAGAAGAATAAAAATATCTTAGTCGATCAGAGGCTTGTTATACTTGATTTTCATTCATTTATTTACTTCAGAGACAGACAGACTGATATATATATATATATATATATATATATATATATATATATATATATATATATATATATATATATATATATATTGTACAGATTGTCCAGTATTCACATGCCATATAGGAGGACTGATATTATATAACCGTTCAGCACCCTTTTCTTTGTTTCTTTTGCCTCAAGTCTCTTCTTCATCTGTGAGGAGATTGTCCAGCATTCACTGCCATATAGGAGGACTGATATTATATAACCGTTCAGCACCCTTTTCTTTGTTTCTGTTGCCTCAAGTCTCTTCATCTGTGAGGAGATTGTCCAGCATTCACTGCCATATAGGAGGACTGATATTATATAACCGTTCAGCACCCTTTTCTTTGTTTCTTTTGCCTTAAGTCTCTTCTTCATCTGTGAAGAGATTGTCCAGCATTCACTGCCATATAGGAGGACTGATATTATATAACCGTTCAGCACCCTTTTCTTTGTTTCTGTTGCCTCAAGTCTCTTCTTCATCTGTGAGGAGATTGTCCATCATTCACTGCCATATAGGAGGACTGATATTATATAAACGTTCAGCACCCTTTTCTTTGTTTCTTTTGCCTCAAGTCTCTTCTTCATCTGTGAGGAGATTGTCCATCATTCACTGCCATATAGGAGGACTGATATTTATAACCGTTCAACTCAAGTCTCTTCTTCATCATTGTCCATCATTCACTGCCCTATAAACGTTCAGCACTCTTTTCTTTGTTTCTGTTGCCTCAAGTCTCTTCTTCTTCATCTGTGAGGAGATTGTCCATCATTCACTGAGGAGGATTAACCGTTCCATTTTTTCTTTGCAGTCTCTTCTTCATCAATTGTCCAGCAATCAATGCCATATAGGAGGACTGATATTATATAACCGTTTAACACCATTTTCTTTGTTTCTGTTGCCTCAAGTCTCTTCTTCATCTTTGAGGAGATTGTCCAGCATTCATTGCCATATGAGAGAACTGATATTATAGAACCGTTCATCACCATTTTTTTTGGTTGTGTTGCTTCCATTTTCTTCATTCATGAAAAGATTTTCTTGCGTTCACAGCCACATCGGAGGCCATTATTACATAACATTTCAGCACTCTTTTCTTTGTTTCTGTTGACTCAGCTTTCCTCTTTACCTGTGAAGGGATTGCCTAGCATTTACTGTCAGATATAACGGACAGATATCACGTAACAGGTCAGTATGGATGGTCACTTACTGAAACTTTACTCTAAAAGCTTAGTGAATCTCTCTCATATGTGAAGGATTTTTCAGTGTTGACTGACATATATACTGATATTACATAACAGTTGAAGTATCTTTTCCTGTTTCTTAATACCTTGCTTAGTTTTTAGAAAGCATCTTTTTGCTATTTAGATATGTCTTACGTATTCAATGACACATTTTCTATTCGCTGTTAAATGAGTGTCATCTTTATATAATTTGACACGGCCATTTGATCTGTTATTTTGACATGTTAGCAAATGAAAAGCACGTGTTAAATTGGTTTGGTTTGGTTTATTTTGTTTATGGTATATAAACATTAATAGTATATCAAGTGAAATGCCGACAAGATTTTTAGGATAGGTTAGTATGTATAGAATATATTTTTTTTTTATAAGAAATCAGTTTTTATATCAGGTTTCAATTCGTATCATTGTAAAAAGTGCTTTTGTCGGAAGTCAAATGTATTGCTGGTGATTTTTTCCCCAAAATCTATTGCTGGAAACTTTTTTTTTCAAAATAGTATTGCTGGTATTTTGACTATAAAAATCCATTTTTATACGTTCATAGTGTTTTGGCCCGAGTTTAAGGGCAAACCATTTGTCCGTATCTGGGTCCGCCGACAGGTGATACGAACCCCGGTCAGGATGGACCTGGGACTAACAGCAATTAAGAGGTGGTTCTACACGCCTCAAAACCTCCCGATCAGAGGCCTTCCTGCCGGATATAGTTTATCATCTTAGGACGATGTAAAATTTGGAAGAAATTTATGATATGATATTACTGTGTAGCCAGAAAGCTCTTTATAAAATTAAGAAAGAAAGCTGTGCTGTCCTAAACTTTGGATTTGATTCAGCGATAAACGCGTTGAGATTAACGGAGCGACCATCTTGCGAACTGCGTGAATCAAGAAAATCGCAAAGATCCTAATCGTCGCTGACAATTTGGCGCGAAGTGACGTCCTTTGCCTTGTGATTCGGCTAAATGTTGAAATTTACAATGACTGTCACTTTGCACTGACCTTTTACGGTAACCTCTTCAAACAGAGAAACCTCTATTTGATTTTAATGTTCGGTGCACGTCCTGTGTCGCGGCCATTATTGATGTCATCATCTTCGCCCTGTTGTCACGGACGCCATCTTGCCGCCGCCATCGTCACGGAAGAACAGTAGAAAATAGCAATCATGGAGCCCACTCCGCTCACCACCTGATCCACACCAGCAACGAAGGAATAAGCCGAGCTAGAACTGATTACAGGTGGTCGTAAAAATCGCCATCTCTCAGTTTGTAGACAACGAGCTTGCTTCTCGTGAGGTCGAAGAACCAAATATTTTTAACGATATTCTATAGCTAGGTTTCCCAATCATTGGTGCGTAACAGCATTCTAAAGAGTGTGAGATAATATTTCAGTATTTTTTTTTAATATTTTGGGTACCGTCCTATATATTCAAGATAAAAGTTCAAATTAAAGATGGGGACAATCACTATTTTCGCAATTCAATACAACATGATTCCCTATGAATTTTAGCGCGTTTCGACTCGCTATTTCCTTTTCAATGGCATCGCCATATAACTTTTTTTTTTAATCGGGGCATTGAAAATGGAGTTCAAATAGTTGCTTCGTGATTTGTATCGAATTAAGTTCGATTTTTTAATTCTTTTTTCATTTTTTATTGTTTAATTTATATCATTTTTATTTCGTATTAATTTGATTATTTCTTTTTTTCTTTCTTATTATTTATTTGAGTCCTTTGAAAATTGGGACGTCGTTGATTTGGGATGCGACCTGTGCGGATACATTTTCGGCCAGTAATTTGATCAGTTCCGCGGTTCAACCGGGGTCTGTCGCCCGGGACGCAGAGATAAAAAAAAAATTGTTAAATATTTTTCACTTGCTGATATATATTTTTTTTAAACTACTGTGGCATTGGAGACTTCAGGGGTTATTGGCCCTCGTCCGATGGCGTTCCTTCGGAGGATTGGAGCGATTGCGTCTCGATTAAGGGACGAGCCTCACGAAACAGAGTGGCTCTTGCAGCGTGTCTCACTGGCGATGGTTC